AGGTGGAGCCTGCCCAACGCCGAGCACTACGCCCTGCAGTACGCGGACGGGCGGCAGACCTACATCACCGAGTCGGTGAGACGCCCCCCGAGCTCTGCCGGCCCTGCCCGTGCGGTGCTCGCCGGCTCACCCCTTCCTTTCTCCTTACAGAACCGCAGGGAGATTAAGAACGGGAGCATTTTACGGCTGACCACCTCCCCGGTACATCCCTCTGCCCCCGGTCTCCTCCTGCGCTGTGTGCTCTGGTGGGACGTGCCCCTGCAGGGGCGCAGCGCGACGCTCCGAGCGCTCTGCCTTGCCTCGCTCGGTGACTTGAGCTCGTGATGGTCCTCTCAAGTGCCTCAGACCCAGCAGAAATAACGTGGGGAAGAGACGTGTGTCAGCCTTCATGCTCCCTCGGCAGAGCTTGGGGGAGTTTGAAGACAAACTAAATCATCGTGAGATGCTTTGGATGCGTGGGCCAACTCATCAAGTGTTCTTGGTGTCATGCCAGCTTGACCTCTGTCCTCAGCTTCTCCTGGTCTCTGCTTTGGTGGCTCTGTCTCTCAGTCCAGCTCCTCATTGGGGCTGCTCTAGCCTGAGACTCCTTCCAAAACTTGTGCTTCGGCTCTTCCAGCCTTCTTTGAGCTCCTCGCTGTCTTTTGATGAGCCCCTTTGGCTTGATTCTTTCCTTCCCGGTAGGACCAAGAAGCAGAGCGGTTGTACACTGGCATCCAGAGCAAGAACTTGGATGTGAAGACTGACTCACTGAAGAAACTTGCAAGCCTCTCCCAGGATGCTACCTTTGCTCAAGAGTTCATCAACAAGAATGGATTGGAACCAATCTATTCTATTGTGGAACAAGGGAATGAGTAAGTGTCAGGACAGGACTTTACTTGCAGAGCTTTTGACTTCTCCCTTGCTAATGCTGTATGAGCTCCAAGCTGGGCGTTGGAGTGGACTCTGTGTTCTGGCTTGTTGATTCCTGTACCGTGGCTGTGTCCCTGCATGCTGACAGCCAGGGGAAGGTCCCCACGGATCTGCAGTCCTGACTCCCTGTGAATGTGCCCAGACTTGAACCTCCCATCCCTTTGCTGGCTGGGTCATCCACAGCCTCACAGCTTTTGCTGCCAGGAAATCTCCAGTGATCATCTTGGCCTCTGCTGCTGCTCCTCATTCCTCCCACCCTAATTGGTCCCTCTGTCCTGAGAGGTTTTAGCTGTGAGAGATCTGCAGGCAGCCCAAGAAAACCCTGGTTACCAAATGCCAGTGCCTGTGTGACTCTTTCAGGATGTGGTGATACATCCCCTCTGAGCCCCTGTGGCATAGAGAACGAGGAGCCTAAACACAGGCAGCACAGTGCCTGTTTCTTGGAAGCCAGGGCAGGGATGTGGGGTGGTTCAGCTTTCCTGATGGCTTGTCTGCAGTGATCTTTGTACCATGTAACACAGCTTTCCAACTATTGCACTTCCCCTGCCTTGACTTCCTGGGATGACTAAGTGAGAGTCTGATTTCTTACCCAGCAGTCCCTTTCCTTTCTCCTGCTCACTGCTGTCTTCTCTAGCTGTTTCTAGTTTACCCACCAACGTGCAACTGCACTCCCATTCTACACTGGTGTCTGGGGGGTATCCAGAGCCATCCTCACTGCATTTGCTCATCTGTCCCTCCAGTACAGGGGAAATGCTGGTTTACACCCTGAAGGCCTTCACAGAGCTGATGGAGCATGGTGTTGTTTCCTGGAGTAATCTTACTCCACTCTTCATCAAGAAGGTAAGTGTATTCTGCAGTCTCCACAGCCTGTGCCCTTGGATTCCTTGTTGCCCTCATCCCCCGGGCTCAGCCTGACATTGACAGATGGTTTCATGTCTCATAGATAGTGAGTTATGTCAATATGAATGCAGTGGATGCATCCATCCAGCAGCTCTCCTTGTCCATCCTGGAGAGCATGGTGCCTACTGAGCGTGTCCTCTTTGAACAGATCAAAAAAGAGGTGACATTGGATCGTCTTCTCACCCACCTGCAGGTGTAAGTGGAGAGGCCAGAGCACTATTCATCCCCATATCAAAGCTGGTGGGAATGAGACAATGGAGGGGATTTCTCTGGGTCTTGCTGATTATCCATGGCACAATGCTATGTTCTCCCTTTCTAAATAACTTGTGGGTGGGCAACCTGTCCAGTCTCTGCTGCTGGAGGAGGGATGAACTGTCCTGGAAACCATCCTGTTTCCAGGTCAGATTCTTTTATTCATGGCCTGGTCCTCTCAGATATTTTAGTTCTTTAGCTGTCGTTTGGGATTTCTCTGGGTCTTGCTGATTATCCATGGCACAATGCTATGTTCTCCCTTTCTAAATAACTTGTGGGTGGGCAACCTGTCCAGTCTCTGCTGCTGGAGGAGGGATGAACTGTCCTGGAAACCATCCTGTTTCCAGGTCAGATTCTTTTATTCATGGCCTGGTCCTCTCAGATATTTTAGTTCTTTAGCTGTCGTTTTTCTGGGGCTGGCCTTCTCTTTCCTTTTGTATTTAGGAGCAGCAGTGTATTCCCTGCAACTTGGGGCCCTGGTGCTGTACTGAACAGAGTTTGTAAAATCCCTTAGCTAAAGCAGGTTCTTCATTCCCTCCCCTCTGCATCTCTTCAGTTTGGAGGTTTTTCTCTCTGGGGAATAGAGTGGTTCAGGCCTAGGGCTCCTGCCTAACAGGAGTCTGCTGCTCATCCTGGGCTTTCCTGCAGCTCCAAAATGCTACACCCATGGGTGTGTGTGGAGCAGTATCTGATCCATCCATGGGTGTGCTGCAGTAACATCCATGGGGACCACCTCACCCCTGGCCCTGCTGTCAGCAGCTGCTCTCTCTTGGCTCTGGCCTCTCTGGGTCCCCCAGCTCCATGCAGTGGGGAGGGGACTCTGCCTTGGGAAGGGCAAGACCATCCTCAGAGCTGGTGACTCAGCATCGTCCTCCTGCCGCAGGACAAACGCACAGCTGCAGCTGAAGGCGATGGCCCTGCTCATTGCGCTGCTGCTGGCTGCGAGTGACGCCGAGCAGAGGGTAAGGGCAGCAGGCAGGACTGGGGGATGGCAAGGGTGCTGGCATTGCACAGCCAGGGCCACAGTGCCCCTGTCACTGGGGTGCTCTGCTCAGAGCCCTCAGCTGTCTCCCATCCCTTGAAGTACCTGGGGAGACCTCAAATGACAGAAGTATCATGGCTGGTGGTGCCATAGTGACTGTGATGGCCCAGCCCCAGTGCCTGGCACAGCTGAGCTGTCTTGGTGTGCCCCCTGTGATGGCACCTTGGTCTGCTGGGTCCTCTGCTGTGGGGTTTGTGTTCTTTGGGATGGCAGGGCTGCAAGAGGTGCCTGGAGATACTTAAAGTCAGCAACCTCACTCTGCCTCTTCATGACTGACGCCACCTGTCCTGGCATCCTGGTGGGAGGATCTGTTTGAGCCCCATTGGGGTGGGCTAGTCCTGGTGCCAAGGCAGTGGAAGCTGGGGGAGGTCTTTTGCTCACTGGTGTCACTGCTGAGACTGCTGGGTCCTTTCTTTCCCCACCCTGGCTGTGGTCCAAAGTCAGGCATAGCAGGTCTGCAGTGCAAACACTGCCTTTTTTTGCCTTTTTTTTTTTTTTTGAAATGGTGATGTGCTGAGCTGGGTAATGTCTCACAGCCTTTTCCCTTCCTAGGACATGATAGATTACCTGAGGGAGAAAAACATCAGGCAGTTTATCCACAAGGTGAGGAGCTGGGGTTGTGTAAAGGTCTGCTCTGTGCTTCATCCTCTGGCCTTCCTCCCCAGCCCCTGTCCCCTGAACCCCAGCCTTTGGTGACCATGCCTGGCTTGGTTGCCTGTGTGCCCCTCACCCCTTCCTTGATACCTGCCATGGGTGCTGCTGTGCCCAGGGTTGTATCCCCATCTGCCTGCAGTTCAGTGCACGCAGCTCTTGCCCAACCCCAAGAGGAGCTTCCCATTTTTCAACACCTCTTTGAGCAGCGAGACCTGCCAGGTTTTGGCTGTTGGGCCCTGGGCTTGGAGGAACTGGGAGCAGCAGCCTGGGGAACCTTCTCACTTGTGGTGTCTTGTAGAACATCATCCACAGCTCTGAGCCGCTGGGGGATGAGATGGCCCATTACCTGTATGTGCTACAGTCTGTCAGCCTCAACCTGTGCGAGCGTCGCATGAGGACCTCCATGGATCCCTACTCACAGGTCTGGAAGTGCTCTACTTGCGAGTCTAGTCCTGGTCTCTTCCACCAGTGAAAGTAGAAATGGGTGAAGTAGAAAGTAGAAGGGGGGATGAAGACAAAGTAGAAGGCAGGTTCACCTTTTGGTGAACCCAGCACATTTGATTTCATCATCAGTTTGTCCTGGGAGAACCTGTTTGTGTGGGGCTCACCAGCATCCCTTCCTCTCCACTCTCCCTCCAGGAACAGCGGGAGCTCCTCCAGTCCCTCCGCCAAACTGCCTTTGAGTCGGAGAGTGAGGTGCCTGCCAGCAACGTCAGCACCGAGCGCCGACGATCCCTGTGTGCCAAGGAATTCCGCAAACTGGGCTTCGTGGTGCGTGTCCCTTGTGTCCCCTCCCCAGCCCCACGCTGGCTCTGCCACATGGCCAAAGTGGCACCTTCTGCTGGCTCCCCTAAGCCCTGTTGATGCCGATGGACCACCATGCAGTACCTCCCTTCTGCCCTCTTGGAACTCCTGAACAGCAAGTGCTGTGGAGCTGCCAGGACTCAAAGGCAAACCCCATGGCTGCATCAGGAGGAGGATGCTGCTCAGAGAAGAATGCAGCAGCTGCTAAATTGCGTCCTTTGTGTCCTCATAGAACAACAGCAACCCAGCAGAGGACCTCCGCCGTGCCCCACCAGGACTCCTTGCCCTGGACAACATGCTGTATTTCTCCAGGAACACCCCCAACGCCTACAGCAGGGTGCGTGTGCTCTCCCAGGGAACTCCCTGGTGGAGAGGTGCTGGTGTATCTTCACCTTCTTTCCCTTTCCCTGTGACCTGTCCTTGGCCAAACCCAGGCAAGGACGTCCCTTCTGGGCAAATGTCCTTCTGTTGCCCTGTTTCAGATGGAGTCAAGTCCTCCCTGTGGGTAGGAGAAGCACTGAAAGGTCCCCATAATTTTAAGGGTTTTGCCCACGGATTGGTTTTCAGGCCTTGAGCAAACTGAGCTGATTTGGGCAAAACCAGAGAGGTATCAGCCACAGTCCAACCTGCAGTGCCTGTGACCAGCTCCCACACTGCCACAGGGGAAGGAGGAGGCTGGGTCTGGATTTTGGAGAGAGTGTATCACTTTTGTTAGGGATGGCTTTACCTGGTGGGGGAACAGCTTGACTAGGAATTCAGGAGGAGTGTGGGATGTCTGAGACTCGCTGTTGGGGCAGCCCTGAGTGCATGGCCCATGTAATGCAAGGTGATGGCTCTCTCCTTCAGTTTATCCTCGAGAACAGCAGCCGGGAAGACAAACATGAGTGTCCCTTTGCTCGAAGCAGCATCCAGCTCACCCTGATCCTCTGCGAGATCCTGCACATTGGAGAGCCGTGTATGTGTGCACCCTGGCTTGTCCTTCTTCCTGCCCTGCTGCCTGAGGGGACAAGCTGCCAGGGCAGGGGGCTGTGTCATGGGGCCACCAGGCTCTGGCATGGCTGACAGCAGGGGAAGGGGAAGCAGGGCTGGGAAATGTCCAGGTTCTCCTGGACACTGAAATCCCCTGGAAAAACTGGGTAGTCTGGCATCATCTGTCCTTCTCACCACAGGCTCGGAGACGGCTCAGGCCTTTTACCCTATGTTCTTCGGGCAGGATCATTTCTTTGAAGAGCTTTTCTGCATCTGCATCCAGCTGGTGAACAAGACCTGGAAGGAGATGCGTGCAACCCAGGAGGACTTTGACAAGGTGTGAGGGTGTGATGGGAGCAGAGATTCAGGGGCTTTGGGGAGCATCACCAGACTGGGGTTGATGTCCTGGGCCTCGCAGGTGATGCAGGTGGTGCGGGAGCAGATCACCAGGACCCTGGCCCTCAAGCCCACCTCCCTGGAGCTATTCAAGACCAGAGTGAATGCATTGAACTACAGTGAGATCCTGAAGCTGCGGCAGACGGAGCGGCTGCACCAGGAGGAGACGCTGGCTGTGCTGTGGGCAGGGAGCTGGGGCTGTGATGGGGGTCTGTGGGGAGCACCCATTGAAGTGGCTCCTCTTCTGACTTTCATCCCAGGGAACTGCGGGAGAGGCTGAAGCCAGAGCTCCTGGAGCTGATCCGACAGCAGCGCCTGCTGCACCTTTGTGAGGGCACCCTCTTCCGCAAGATCAGCAGCCGCCGCAGGCAGGGGGGGGGCCAGCCCCTGCTCCCGGCTCCGGGGTGGGGGTCCTGGGAGGGGGAAGAGGCTTGCCCCCACACCCCCTGCCACTGGGACAGCGCCAGGCTCCCTGGTTGTCTGGTGTGGGCTAATCCACAGGGTGGGAGAAATGATGATAAGGGGACAGCTCTGTCCCCCCTGTGAAGGGGATCTCAGCAGGGGAAAGCTGAGCATTTCCCATGGCTCTTCTGCTGCAGACAAGCTGTGGTACTGCCGCCTGTCACCCAACCACAAGGTGCTTCACTATGGGGATGTGGAGGAGGGGGTGCACTCTCCCCCCATCGAGACCCTGACGGAGAAGAGTAGGTGATGGAGAGAAAGAGAGGGTGGGGAGGAGGGAGGGGAACCCACTGCCCACCCCAGTTAAGACTGCCTTAAAGTGAGAATTGCCCCTCTGCCTGGTTGCTGAGCATCTGGCCCAGTGTCCACTGGTGCTGTGGGACTGGGAGCTGTGGGAGTTCAGGCTGGGTGGGCTGGCTTCCCAAAGGATGCTGCAGAGTGGCTAGAGCCCCCCACCCCAAGTTGTGGATGGCTGTGAGCCCCCACACTTGGGCTGCACTGGGCTCTGAGCAGTGGGGACCTGGATTAGAGGGAGGGGAAGGAAAGGGGAAGAGGGAGAGAGAAAGGGAGAGGAGATGCTCACAGCTCCTCCACTTGCCCCAGTTCCTGTGGCGGACATGAAGATGCTGCTGGTGGGGAAGGAATGTCCACACACGAAGGAGAAGAGCTCTGGGAAGCAGAACAAGGTCAGCACCTTGCACCTGCACCGTGCAGGAGTGCAGCATGCTCCCCTCCGCAGCTGGGGATGGGTTTGGGGTGGGTGGATGGTGGCAGCTTGGGTCGTTTCATGGATAGAGACCTCCTGGGTCTCCTGAGGCACAGAGGAGCAGGCTGGGAGGCAGCTCCTGCTCTGAACCCCACCAGGGCTGGAAAGAGTTGAGCTGAGAAGCTGACTACCCCGTGTGCTGACCCTGCAGGATGTACTGGAGTTGGCCTTCTCCATCGTGCATGACATGGAGGAATACTGCCTCAACTTCATTGCCCCAACGCGGTACGAGGTGAGCTCCAAGGGCCTGCTGTGCTGGGGAGGCACATGGGGTCCAGATGTCCTTGCCAGGGCACAGCAGACTGGGGAGTGAGTTGTGTGTGTCTCTGGGGGTTGGAGCCACAGCAGGGGACAGGTGGGCTCTCTGGCTGCCCAGGGCTGGTGCCAGAGATGTCTGTGCTCTGCTCCCTCAGTTCTGCCTCTGGACAGATGGGCTGAACGTGCTCCTTGGCAAGGAGATGACGAGTGAGCGAACGCAGACAGACCTCGATGTCCTGCTGTCCATGGAACTCAAGCTGCGGCTCCTGGACCTGGAGAACATCAGCATTCCTGACAACCCCCCTCCTATCCCAAAGCCCCCCAGCAACTTAAACTTCTGCTATGACTTCAGCCAGGCAGAGCAGTGAGTTCCTCCCTGCACCCTGTACCCCCCTTTATGTCCCCCAAAATCAAACCCCTTCCTCCAGGCTCTGTCCCTCATCTCTGGCCCAAAGGTATGAGCCCAGGTGCTGGCTGAGGGCTTGGGTGTCCCAGGCCTTCCCTGCCTGTGTCCTGCCCTCCTGTGAGAGCATGGGAATGAGCCACCAAGTGTCAGGTTCCTGTTTGAGGAGGGTGACCTGCCTGCTCTGCCCCCCTGCCATGGACAGGCAAGACAAAATACATCCCAGACAGCCAAACCCCTCTGTGGTGGCACTGATCTTCCCACACTGCAGCCAGGCTTTGGGCAGAGAGGGCAAGGATGAGGGCAGGAATAAAGGTACAGGCAGCCCTGGGATAGCTGGAGGGGACTAACACTACAAAGGTACGAATCTGCACTCCCTGAATTTTGCCATCAGTGTAGGGTATCTTTTCTGCACAGGAAAGTAGTTAGAAAAAGGATAAAACACACCTTTCCACTAAGTTTGGCAAGCAGATGACATCTCCAGAGCATGGTGTGCCTGGCCTGCCAGGTCCCTCCTGCACTGAAGTGTGTTTTTGCTGAGCCCTGTCTTGGCAGGGGTTGTTCTGGGTACGAGCCCCCTTTTGCCAGCACCGTTCAGTTGGGCCTAGTGTGAGGAGGAGACCCTGGTCGGCCCTTGCCACCCAGCACTAACTACAGTTAGTGTTGTGCCAATCCTGGTGCCTTCCCCCACCCTGGGGTGGATACTTGCACACTTCAGCCATGCTGCTGCACTACTTACTGCACCATGACAATCTACCTCCTCCCTGGCCCCCATGGGCCCCACACTAGTGCCCTGCACCTCCTTGTGCCTGCAGCTTCTCCCAGGGCTGTTCTACTAACAGCTGCAGGTTGCTGGGGCTCTGTCTCTGCCTCCTGTGCATTGGGACAATAAACACTTGTGGAGAAATCGGAGCCGTGTCCTTTCCAAAGGTTTGGGGAAGGGGTCAGGCTGAAGGGGGCAAAAAGGGGCCTGGGATGGTGCTGTGGCACAGGGTGTGAAGAAGCTGGGAGGATGGCTGTCGGGAAGAGTTTGTTCCTGCGGTTGAGGAGCAGGCTCAGAGTCAAGATACCTCCAGCTGTGACAACAGCTATGTCCATTTCCAGCCTAGGAATCAATCATAGAAACATAGAATTTTAGGGTTTGGAATGGACCTTACAGATCATCTAGTCCCACCCCCCTGCCTTGGGCAGGGACACCTCCCACCAGATCAGATTGCTCAAGGCCTTATCCAGCCTGGCTTTGGACACTGCCAGGGTTGGGGCATCCACAGCCTCCCTGGGCAACCTGTGCCAGTGTCTCACCAATCTCACAGGAAAACACTTCTTCGTAATACCCAACTTAAACCTCCTTCAATTTGAATCCACTACCCCTTGTCCTATCACTGCAGTTCCTAACGAAGAGAGGAAGCACTGCGGGTGGTCCCAGTCACACCTTGGACAGGCTCCACTCCTTCCAATGCACTGGTGCCTCTTGTGCTTGGAGCTCGGGGAGCAGCACCTTGGCCCTACAAAGGCTGTTACATGGGGAGATGAGGCTGGTGAAAGCAGTGTCTGTGGGGCTACTGCCATGTGCCAAACCATGTCCTGGGAGCTGCTGAGCTATGGAGGCAGAGCAGTGCAGCTCCCTCTGCTCTCTCTGGCTGTGCAGGACCTGGCACAGCTGCAGTGCTTGGGTGAGCTGCTGCCAAGAGGAGGTGATGGGCACTGGTGTGTCAAGGGGGTGTATGGAGGGGTGAAATAGTGATACCAAAGGATCAACCAAGAAATAGATGACTGTGCTGTTAGGCAATTAAAGTGTATGGGACATGGGCACGAGGTTAGAAATGGGGGATTGTACATTTTGGATAATAATTAAAACCAGATGTGTAGGACATGTGCTTACCGGGCTAAGAAAGGGGAGAAACTTTGTGTTTTAGACAAGATGTATAGGACGTGCTCACTGGGCAGGACCCAGAAGATGGATGGGGGGAACAAGAAGATTGGAGAACAAAGATGTGATCGACATGTACACCTGGCCTAGGCAAAAGCCCAGAAATAAAAGGATCAAAAGTCCTTTTGGAGAGCATCCAAATTTCACAAACCGAGCTGCTAGGACCCACTGGGAACCACCGCCTCAATTTAATGAGCTTGTGCAATATTATAATGAGGAGAGGGGTTAGGATAATGATGCCGAGGACATGATTATATGTATGGAAATTACTGAATATGTATATATAAAAGACTGGAGATTTTGGAGCTAGGTATGCACGCTTGGCAGAGCATCCCCGGCCGAAATAAATAACGCTGCTTCTTAACACTAAATTGAGGTTAAGGAGTTTTCCTCCCGATTTCGGTGACAAAAGGAAAGGCTATCCTCGGCCCCCCAAACGCCGCGGCCGCGCGGTGGGGCCGGTCGGAAGGCGCCGAGGTGCGCTGGGGGCGGGAAGCGGAGAGACCCCGGGGCAGGGCCGGGGAGTG